TACCATTCTGTATGAATGTGCAAAAACTAAGATGTGTGTTCTATTTTTATCTTAGCTTTTTAGCATTAAGTGTTTTTGTTTTCGTAATTGGTTGTCTGTTTTATGTATGATACATTGTATATTGTTTGTTTAAAATTTTAGATATGCTTTGAATTATATGGCAAGACTTTAAATAGCTTTTTTTTTTTTTGAGATGGAGTCTCACTCTGCCGCCCAGGCTGGAGTGCAGTGGCACAATCTCAGCTCATTGCAACTTCTACCTACCAGGTTCAGGCGATTCTCCTGCCTCAGCCTTCCAAGTAGCTGGCATTACAGGGGCATACCACCACACCCAGATAATTTTTGTATTTTTAGTAGAAACAGGGTTTCACTGTGTTGGCCAGGCTGGTCTTAAACTCCTCACCTTAGGTGATCCGCCTGCCTCAGCCTCCCGAAATGCTGAGATTATAGTCATACAGGTGTAAATCACCATGCCCAGCCTTAAATGGCTTTTAAAAAATAACTTATCCTATATCATAAGGAGTACTTTTTGAAGTTTTGTATTTTATAATAGAAATTTTAACTCCAGATATTAAAATCACTTAGATGCAGAATTTTTCATCTTTAAGACTTTACTTTTATAAAGATCGATCAAACAAGATTAGAAAAAATGAGAACTTTGGCATATTTTGCAGGAAAAATAGTAAAAGAAATGCAAAATCAAAGTTGTTAAATATTCAAGACTATTAACATGTAGTCTTAATGCTGGTTTTTAACTGTTTTTACATGAAATTGACATAGAATAAATGGTACATATTTAAGGTTTACAATTTAATACGTTTTAATGTTTGTATATACCTGTGAAACCATCAGCACAATCAAGATACTCAACAGAGCCATGCTTAAAAGTGTCCTTTTGCCTCTTTCCATTTTTCTGTTCCTATATTCTGGAACTTTCTTCTGGGATGCAGTTAAGTTACTTGCAAACGGTTCTAACCTTTTGAGTTTTTGTTAGACCCGATCCAGAAAGTGTTTAGACCAGGGCTAATTATTCCCCATTTGCTGAAGCAAGATTCTTCTAGGTACTCTATTCAGTGCACATGAATCAAGACATTTCCCAGGCTGGCTGGTAGAAAGAGACTATTTCCAGCCCTGTACCAGTGCTGTGCACTTTTCCCCATAACCCTCTCTGGTGGTTCTTTCCACGGCCTTGGGTAGTTTCCTCACCTGCATACACTAATCAGTACAAAACTAAGTACTCAAGGGAACACTGCACAGCCCCAGAATCCTTATTCTCTATTTTTCTTTCTTCTCTGGCATCTGTCCTATGAAGTCTAACCTCTTTGATCACTCTGGACTCTCAGTTCCTTCTCCTGAACTCAGGGAGTTCACTTGGCTCAACCTGGTTTTCCCCTTCCTGCACAGCACCCTTGAAACTCTGTCAGTCAAAACAGTAAGCCAGGGTAATAAAAATGGGGCTCACCTGGTTTGTTTTCCCCACTCTCAGGGATCACCTTCATTGCCTAAGTCCCAGACCTTAAGGCAGGAGGAGGAAATATGGTCTTGTTTTAAATTAGCGTTAAGCAGAACTAAATTCTCTGCTTAATGCTCATTTAAAACAATTATGATAAAGATTGGTTCTTATGCCCAAATAGTATGATTTTCTTTAAAAGAAATAGCCTGTAAAAGGCTGTTATTTAATAAAAAGTGTATGACTTAATAATATACCTTTGCTCATATGGTAATGATACTTTAGTAGGTTTTTTTTTTTTAAGCTGTTATATATATTTTAATTAGGAAGACTTGCTTTACATAGCTGAATGGTACCACTTAAATGTTTAAAATTTTAGAATAGTAGGAGATAAAATGCTAGCCATATCTTAGGTTTTACATGATTGAGAAATGTATTACTCATACAGTAGGAATTTGGGGGCATCCTTCTCTAATTAATAAAGCCTATTATTTGTTTATTATTTATTTTTTCTTTTGTTTTTATGATAGAATCTCGCTCTGTTGCCTAGGCTGGAGTGCAGTGGCACGATCTTGGCTCACTGCAGCCTCTGCTTCCCAGGTTCAAGGGATTCTCCTGCCTCAGCCACCCAAGTAGCTGGGACTGTAGGTTTGCCCCACCACGCCTGGCTACTTTTTGTATTTTTGGTAGAGACGGGGTTTTGATGTGTTGGCCAGGCTGGTCTTGAACTCCTGACCTCAAGTGATCTACCTGCCTCAGCCTCCCAGAGTGCTTGGATTACAGGCATGAACCACCGTGCCCAGCCTCTTTCAGGAAGACTTCTAGAAGAATCTAGGATGAGAATCAGAAATTTCACGTACTCTAGTTCTACTCCTTTTTACACATTTCAGTTGGAAACACATCTATTTTCCATCATTTTCAAAAGGATTCTCTTTTAAAAGTTACTTTTAAAGATTAATGATCTTTGAAACAGTCTAGAACATTGCTTTACAAACCGTATTCTGCAGAATGCTGCTGACCCAAAAACATTAGTATGTGTTCAACAGTAGAGGAATGGTTCTGTGGTCAGTTCACTGAAACAATGAGTCAGAGTTAGATGTTTTCAGTCCATCTTCGTGAAACTCATTGTGCCTAAGTTTCAGGACAGTGTTCATACCATACTTATTACTATAGATGTGTTAGTTGCTATCATATTTATGCTTTGATTTTTTTGTTTGATTTATGGCATTTGAATGCAATATTTTCTTTTTAAAAAAAAATATATTTTTGTAGAGACAGGGTCTCACTATGTTGCCCAGGCTGGTCTCAAACTCCTGGGCTCAAGTGATCTTCCCATCTCAGCCTGCCAAAGTGTTGGGATTACAGGCATGCACCACTGCTTCCAGGTGAATCCAATTATTTTCAACATGTTTTCATTGTATACAGTATCTCATCTCTGCTGTTACAAATACTGTAAGGATTGGGGCAAGATATAAATATCAAACAAAGGAAGCCTGTGCCAGTCCTTTAAAGATTACTTAGTTAGAATTTAGTAGCAAGGTTTAACACATACATGTTAAGCATAGACCCAAATATTTTAAAAAAACAAAAATAACATTTATTTAATATGCTATGTTAGTTGCTTTATATTGATGCTTGGAGGTGTATGGTATTATTGAGGTTTGCAGAGATTAAAAAAGCTGGAAAGTGATAAGAGTAAGAGTTGGGATTCAGTTTCTTGTCTTTTTGATTTCAAAACCTAGACTTTTTGCTCTGCATATTGCCTGTGGAAGAAGTAGTGTCATGAAAAATGAAAGGAAAAACTTAAATTATGTTTCATATTTTGGTGAAATCAGATATTATATGACCAAAAGAATTCAGTTTTTTGATTATATGTTAATTTATCTCTCATCTATTGGGAGGACTAGGGACAATGCTCCCCTTTTAAGTCTAATATTCATAATGGCTTTAGCGTTTGAGTTACTTTCAGAGCTTTACTTTTACTTCTGAGTTCTTGAGACTTTTAAAACTTTACATTTATTGTGTTGCTTTTTTTTTTTTGTTTTACGCAGTAAACTTATTTTTAAAATATATGAATGTGCCTACTGTGTGACAGGCATTGTGCTAAGGCCTTTGGCATGACCTGATTAATTAAGGATGTAGCTTCTTTTTTTAATTCCATTTAATTTTTCACTCTCAAGATATGCTTAAGGATATATGTTCTCAAAACCATTTTTAATTACCGGAATATTACCACAGTTATTATAAATATTTCCCTGACCTTTATTTTTTAGTCTCTTGATTTCTCTAAACTTTTCACTTTCATTTCTTCAGAGCAAAATCACTCACCCACCACCCCGTGATGAGTAGCTCTTGATACTCTAAAGAGGCCATATCCATTTTACTTCTGACTTCATCTTGTGGAATATTATATAAAACAATAAGAAATTATATTCATAATTAATGTTTAGCTTGTCCTCAGTTATAGTATGCTTTATTGTTTATCCTTCTGTATTTGAAGTATACAAATAGTGGGGATGTAAATTTAATATTTATATAGCACACTGCAGTCCCTGACTGTTTACTTCAGCCTCAAACTGGTAGTCTCAATTACATACAATACTGCTTTCTTCTATGCCTTTGCTCATGTTTTCTTCCCACTCTGCAGTGTCCATAAATAACTTCCTGTTTTGTTTCTTAATGTCTGCTTACTCTGTTTTGGGGTATCACATGTGGGACCATCTTTGCTTCCTGTCTTTCAACTTCATCCACTCTGCCACAGCATGTGTCGGGATCTCTTCCTTGCTGTTACAACACCCTAGATATCTCTGCCATTGTTCTTACTGCATTAAATTTTTTATTTGATATGTTTTTGTCCTGAGACTGAGCTCCTTCAAGGAATTACCATTTATTTTTTATCTTTATATTTTCATTGTCTAGCACAGTATTGGCAAACAATAGAAGTCTGGTACATACTTGATAAATGCACAAATAAATGGCATTGATTTTTATGTTTATCATTTTAAAATTTTACAATACAACTTTTACTTGTTTTGCTTATTTTAAATATTTATTTCAGGACTGTATTATTCTTGTGAAAGATTCATGGGTAGATTTTGTCTTAAAATTGTGAAAACGTTGTCAGAAGCCATATTTATATAATGATATTCAAGGGCCATGCCATGGTGAGATTCTTTTTCCCCTAATCTCCACTATTCCTCCACCTCTTAGGATACAGATCTTATGAATGAGACAGAGTAAAGGACTTTAAGTTGGATAAAGATTAGGATTCCCTGCTGGCTAGTAATTATCAGAATCTGGATGGTTATTTGTTTGGATGAAACGATGCATACATTGTGTGCATCAAAAGTAAAGCATATGTGATTGTTAGAGGAATGTTTGAATTCCCCAGTGGGATGTCATGGGGTATGTTTATAAACTCTCACTAAGCAGTAGTTCTACAATGGAATTTCTCTGGCATTGAGATAATAATTTGCACAGTCAAATTACCTTCTTTACAAAACCCCAAGGAATCATGAGGGCCTAATCCTTTATTAATGTCAACCCACAGGCTGCAAGAAAGCGTAAGATTGCCATTCGAAAAGCCCAGGGGAAAAATGTGGAGGCCATTCGGGAACTGAATGAGTATCTGGAACAGTGAGTGTTTTACAAGAGGATCGTGTTTTGTTATTCTGATAAATCTTTTTTAATTAAAATGGAATTTGCATTTGATTTTCCTGTTTGTCTTCATGCTGTTCATTTACAGAATATCTATACACTTACTTTTTTTTCTTTTCCTCTCAACAGATTTGTTGGAGACCAAGAAGCCTGGCATGAACTTGCAGAACTTTATATCAATGAACATGAGTAAGTTATTAAACACATTTAACATTTTGTTGAGTGCAATTTTCATCACTATAAGTTCAGAAAGTACAGTGGTTTCCAAAGGATTGGTAAGAAGATGTGAATCATGTCATTTGAAATGAAAAACAAAACAAATCAACAATTAAATGAAAAAGAACAAATCAATAATTTGCTGGTCATAATATGTGAATAGCTTTAACTAGGTCATTTGTGTTTTGTTAAATTGTTTTTGTTTAGGAAATAAGTTTTTCTTTCAAATATAGATGACACCTTTGGAAATAAAAAGGCCTACATTTATTAGCTAAGTTTATTTTTGGTGAATCAGAATTGTGAACTTTTAGGGTTCAGATTGTTCTTATATACAAAGAGTATTATATTCCCTGCTGTTTAAAAATTCTGTCAATTGTATGCATGTATTAGCCTTAGTACTAAGAGAATCAACTCTTCCAAAGTAGAAGCATTCTGTTGCCTGGGTAAAAAACTGAGAATAATCAAGAATGTTGAATGCTGTAGGAACTTGCTTATTGGATGTTTAATGTTTTTGTTAGCTTTTTTATTGCTGTAGTGACAGGAGGAAATCCCAGTGTGAGAGGATTAGTCCAGAGTCTTAGTGCAAGTTTTCTAATATTACAGCATTAATGCTAACCTCCGTCTAGAGGCATATTTTTTTTTCCTTAGTCCTTCTGAGTCTGAAGTATATTACATTGTTTCTTTTCCTTCTTTTTCACAGAATAGAATCAAATTCTCATGCACATTTTCTTGTACATGAATATTTAACCTTGTTCTCATACACTACCAAGAAGTGACAAGAAATAAAATAGAATGAAGACATTTGTCTGTTGTCTGTGGTCTATATATATAATGTGATATAGAGGATTGAGGTAGTCAACTTGCATAAGTCTAAGAAAAGTGGGAGCTAAAATAAAAGTAATAGCTGTCATTTAATGAATGTGTACTATATTCTGGGAACTATTTTTCAAGTTTTTTGCTATACTCTGAAACAGATATTCTGGTTTTGAGTAGAAAATAATTTCCTGAATCACAGTCAGTATAGATAATATGCTTGTATGTACACATACATAAACATACTTATGATTTCTTATGCATGTGAGACAGTATATAATACTTATTTTTAAATACATGGAATTGAATTTTTAGAGTACGGTAAAAATAACATTTTATTTTGTTTCTAAAACAGGTGAGTCATTTAACTTTTTTGTGTACTTTTTAAAGATTTTCTGACTAAAAGTATTTAAAAACATTTCAAATCATCAGGGAAATTTTTCTTTTCAAGATAAAGAAATACCTAATGCTGAATATTTGAGAAACATAATAAAGCATAAAGACCAAGACAAATATTACATGTAATTCCACCATCCTAAGTTAACTGTGTTTGATTTTTGTCCTTTCTTACCTTTTAAAACAAAAGCCCAAAATAAAGTTATGTTTTATAGTTTATTCTTTCCTTAGTTATATTTTGTCAGAAATGTCTTGTTATTATAACAGTCTACATTGTGGTTTTAATGGCTTTATATTATTTCATCTTATCAATATATCCTAGTATTTTTAACCAGTTTCCTAGGAGACATACAGGTTGTTTTATATTTTTACTATAATGCTGTTTATATTTTTACTATAATGCTGTAGTGATCATCTTTATTTTGTTTCTGTGGGCTAATTCTTAGAAGTAAAATTGCCTGATTAAATAAGATGTACATTTTCTGTGGTTTTGATAAATAGTTCCTTATTGTTCCCTGGACTAGTAACATCAATTTACTTGCACACCAGCATTTACTAGAGTACCTCTTCAGCAACACTGGATACTGTGATTTTTTTTTTTTTTAATCTTTACAAGTTTGATAGGTGAATTGGTCCTACCATTTTAGTTCATTTTTAAGAGCTCTTTAAATAAAGGAGGGCAACCAGTTGTCAAGAGTATATCCTTGTTATATGCTTTTAAAATACTGACTTTTTTAAATTATAGAAACTTTACATGTATATTTAGAAAGTCAGATACATCAATTTTAACATTATCATGTCTTCTATCTTTTAATGACTTTAAAAATATAGCACCTTTTTCTCCCTACTTCATTTACAGTTTTCTTGTTTTGCATGTATTTCTAATATTTATGTCATCATCAAATTTAGGTTATACGCTATTTTTAACCTACCATTAAATTTATTTGTTTCACCAAGTCGCACCACATTCAGTTTTGCCTTGTTTTGAATCTAAAGAGTTTATTGAAATAGAATTGAATGTACACTTAAGATATCTCAAAAAAAATCAAGAAATACAAAGATGTGGGAACACCTGAAAAATATTATTTTTTAGCAGAAATGACAATATGGTCAGCCTACCCTTTTATCGATTATCACAAAAGTCTTCTTGGTCTTAAAGCCAGTTAGTTACAAAATGACCATTTTTTTTTTTTTTCTAATTGAACACTTAGAAGGAGTATTTGTGTTTCGGTGAGTATAAATACATATCTACAGATTTTTTGAAACTGTGAAAATTAGAATTAGTTTACTTGATTCATTTGACATGTTTGAACAAGTCATTATAGTAGGCAGGAATTTTTTGGTGGGATGTTAAATCATTGTAGGATATCAGTTTTGCACTAGTCTTGTAGACACAGTGGCAAAACTGTAGCAGTTTAGAAAATGTTAGATATATTTAACATTCAGTGTTCTTTTCTGCATATGAACAGTTATAAGCTTTTTAAAGTATAATAGGTCACAGGCAGCTTTGGTAGCCTAGATCTGAAACTATTTTTTTTCTTTAAGAGACAAGGTCTTAAAATGTTTCCCAGGCTAGACTTGAACTCCTGGGCTCAAGTGCTCTTCCCACCTCAGCCTGTTGTGTAGCTAGCGTTACAGGTGTGCCACTATGCTCAGCTCTGGAATTTTTAACTCCAAATAAATATCCATAGTATAATTTTCATATAGCCCTATTTTGTGTTTCTATATAGAGAAAAAGTTAAAGAATTGTGCCACAAAACATTTTTATATTTTTAAGCTATTTTTATGTTTGTTTCTGATTTATAAATTATAGTTTGTTTTTAGCTATTCCATGGGTGTGTGTTACACCCATTGACCATATTGAGACACTTGTTCTAAATTTTTAAAACCATTAATTTTTATGTGTTAGCACTACCAATATGTATTACACGTTCAGTATCTATAGCCTGAAAATTTGAAATCTACAGTGCTCCAAAATCTGAAACTTTTTGAGTGCCACATGATGCTCAAAGGAAATGCTCTTTGGAGCATTTTGGATCTGGGATTTTTGGGTTAGAGATGTTCAACCAGTAAGATAATGCAAATATTTTAAAATCTAAAAATTCTGAAATCCGAAACATTTCTGGTCCTAAGCATTTTGGTTAAGGGATTCTCAACCTTTGTAAGCAAAAATACATTCACATTATGAAAGACACAAATTTATTTTACTTGATTTGTAATTAAAACTAGATACTATATAGCAAGGAACAGTTAGTATTATACATTCATTATAATTGTGATTATAGTTCCTTTTTATAGGTCCTGCCTTCTAAAATTCCATATCAAAGGAAATTATCACAATTCTGTAAGGAAAAATCATGATGTTGGTAAAGCAATATACAGTTCCAAATACTATAACCTTTAGTTATATATACTTTTGTAAGGAAGAGAAGAAAACTTTATTTAGTTCTACTGCTGACTCTAACATAATAATAGCAATTGTTATTCTCTTTTAAGTAGATTCAAATTATTTTTATTTCTCTAGTCCTAGTCTTGTTGAGTCCACTTATATAATGAATAACTTTTCTATGCACCTAGGATAGTACTGGCTATGGATTATCCCTGACAAGGTTGAGGAAATAGTCACTTTCTGTATGGCCTAACAATGGCCTCTGGCTGGCCTAGACCATCTCTTGAGCTTCTTCTAGCTCTAATTTTATTTAATTCTATATTTTATTCACAAAATTAGTTTGATAGTGTACTTTGTAAAAGTAGGGGAAGGAATCCTTTTCTTTCTTATGTGTGCTGCTAATTAATTTTTGAGAAAATATCTTGGTATTCATTTTACCCTAAGAGCTACTACTGCCTCCCCATTTTATCTTGCTTTATGCTATATAAGAACCAGTATCACAGTTGTGCTCAACCCATTTAAATCACTAAGAACTTTTATTCTTAGTCTCACTATGAATTTTTGTCATCATACTATTAATAATTAGAGGAACACATTTACAAGAGAACTGTCTTTTGATAAAGTATTTAAGGTACAGATAATTTTTCCCTTTTAGAGTGATAAATAAATGGGTAGGTAGGTAGTCATAATACTTTTGTTTCAGACATTTATTCAGTCATTTGTTCAGTCTTATTAAATACTTATCCTGTGTCAAGAACCAGCACTAGGGTTTGAATTTAAAAATAGAAAGGGCTAAATAGCTGCATGATCTTGGATGAGAGTGTGTGTGTGTGTGTGTGTGTGTGTGTGTGTGTGTGTGTGTGTGTGTATTCAGAAATCTAAAATGCTGTAATTATTAGGTAATTAACAGGGTGTATTTATGTCCTCAGTCCCTTTGGGTGTGACTGCTATATACATTTTTATGTTACCATTGACATCTTCAATTTTTCAATGTGGTGTATAATGCCATATGTCGTGGTTAAAGAGTACAGGCTGTCTGGAGTGGTACAGCCTGGGATTCAGTTTACATCTCTGTGCCTCAGTATTCTCAGCTGTAGCATGGTGATAATAATTGCCTTCTTCCTAGGGTTTTGGTAGGATTAAATGAGTTAATACATGTAACACATGTGGAACAATAACACATAAGCATTTAGTAAAAGCTGCTATTAGTATATATGTGTGAAACAGGAATATAATTTTTAAAAGTAAGTATATCAGGCATTAGCGTAAAGGTAGATACCTTTGTATATTGGTAACAAATGCCAAAAATAACTTTAGGTACCCTCTTTTTGTTGAGTGTCATCACTTCCTCACTGGGAAGAAATCTTCTAACACTCATATTTATTAGGATTTCCTGTAGCTAGTGAGGATAGATAGTCACATGGCATTAAACATATAAAATATATTTAGTGATTTATACTCAGGTGTTTTAAAATTGTTTTTCAGAGCCCTTTCTGGCAGTTCTGTCTCCTTAGGTTTTCAGCAAGATTTTTGTTTATTCTACCACAGATTTAATAATAGCAGAGTATATATGAAAACCAACTTGATCTATTTTTTATGGGTAGAAATTTATAACTTCATTTTAATTTGGTATTTGACAGTAAACTGAAGTAATGAGAGAAATCTTTGTAATAGAATTTGTTGCTAAATACATGCCTGTGAAGAATTTTTAGTGAGTAGAGAATATTTAAGAAATGTTTATTTTCTCCTTAAACATTAGCTGTTCAAATATTTTATTAAATCATCAGTCAACTTCCAGAAGTTGTTTTATGTACAACTTGATCCAAGGTTTTGAAGCCTTTGCTATTAGTCATGATAGGATGTAGTAGTAGTGACCCAATTTTTAAAATGTGGTATCTATTGATTGTTTAGAGGCAGCTTTAAGATTTAAGTCTATGTTGATTAATTTCATGAAAAAATTTAATGTCATTGATATTTATGAGTTTCAGATGACAAATACTTTATTAATAAAACTATGTAAATTATTTTGGGAATAAATTGTTTAACATCACTAAAGTTGTTTTTAAATTATTTCAAGGTGTAACTAAGATAAAATTTGTGATTTTTAAAATTGATTTCTCTTTTTGATGTGTTTTTAGCTATGCAAAAGCAGCCTTTTGTTTAGAGGAACTAATGATGACTAATCCACACAACCACTTATACTGTCAGCAGTATGCTGAAGTAAGTGTTTTCAAACAATGGCATATAATTTTATTTTGGTTACTATTTGCTATTATTATGGAACTAAGAATATTTCTTTCATGTTAAGCAAGTACATAAATATTTAAAACATCTGAAGAGCATTGAGTTGTGGGAATAAAAGTTTAACATTGCAATGGAAATACTGACTTCAATTAAGTCATACTTAAAACAGTGATATTCCTTGTATTTTTATATTTGTGTACTATTTTCTTTCCTAATTATAGTATATCACATTCGTCACTACCTATTGGCTTCTGAGACATTTACAGTGATTGTGGTTGTTAAATTCATATTCTAGGGAATTTGTATTAAAGCCAGTTGGGACATAGGAAGTATTTATTTAATTCAGGTACTGTTAAGAATATCAGTACAATTGAATGCTGTAAGGCTAGAAGGACTTCATTATTAAAAACTGTCTGTGCAGGTTATAAAAGGACAATTCAGTATCTAAGTCACATTTATAATACCAGTAATAGAAAATATAATGTGAAATGAAGCATTTACAAGGCAGTTGAAATAGAAATTATTCTGGCTTCTTATTGTGACAGCATTTTTGTTTTAGAAACTACTCAGTCATCTCAATGTTCGTAGAACGGAATAGCTTTTTGGGGAAGGTTATGTTTTAAGTTTTAGATTAGCCTTAAAAACCTTTAGGTGAATTCTTTTAACATCTTGTATTTGTTTACAGAGAATATCTGTTTCGATTACTTAATTTATGGTATGATGAAACCATGCTATATTTCAGAGTAGTAAAATAAACAGTTTTCAGCACTTTGCAATTTTTAACAGGTTAAATATACCCAAGGTGGACTTGAAAACCTCGAACTTTCAAGAAAGTATTTTGCACAGGCATTGAAACTGAACAACAGAAATATGAGAGCTTTGTTTGGGCTTTATATGGTGAGTTGAGGTGCATGTTTAATGTTATTTTAAAAAATCTGTCATTTAAAATCCACTTAACTATTCCCTCCAATCACTCTTCTCCTGTTTTATGTATTTTATTGGTAAGCATATGCTGTTTTTCTATAATTAATTCTGAGCAATAGCTTGTAAGCCACTTTTATTTTTTAATGTTCCTACAGCCTAGCTGTTTAACATTTTTTGGTAAAATATCTTTTATTATATCAGAATTGAAATCTGCCCTTATAAAATTAAATGGTAACAGGAAAAAAACATAATATGATTTTTTGTTTTGATATTCTTTGGTTTATGCCCAACATTATTGTATTTCTTCCCTAAATTATAGTTGTATGAAGTATTTTTAAACTATGCCAGTAAAAGACATTAGAAATAAAATTCCTAATATATCAAATTAAAACATTTTTTATGGTGTAGAAAAATAGTTTGGAAATTGTGGGAAGTATATAATTATCTACTGTTTAGGTATGCCAAATGCAGAGCTTAGAAAAGTCAATTAATAAGCACTACAGGAAATAGTGGAAGAATTTGCTGACCTTTAAAACATATATATAAAGTGAGCACCTCTCTACAATAAGAAAGGCTAGGAAAAATAAACTTTAATATGTCAGTTCTTTGAATTTTTTATTTATCCTGTTCTTGAGACGGACTTCTTGATGAGTGTCTTCTTGTTGTGGCTCAGTGAAAAAGAATTAATTAAAGAAATGGAGATAAGAAGAAACAAAAATGAAGTAATTTTTAGAAAGGAATGGCAAAATATGGTTAGAAAATGGTTCAAAGAAATTTCAAGAAAATTTTCCTGGATTCTAGCAAAGTCAGTTGCAGTGGCTTGAGTATATACTATAGTAGCAGTATCTCTTTATTAAATAAATACTAATTTTAATAAAACTGTATAATATATAACAAATTATTAATAGCTGACATATAGCACTTTATGTGCCAGGCGTTGTTCTGAGCTCCGTTTTTTATTTTAAATAAACAAATCCTCACAGCTCACACCAGCTATTGAGTAGGTGCTCTATGCTATCCTCAGACGGTGAAACTGAGACACAGATTTAATTAATTTGCCCAAAGATGGGCACAGAGCTCCTAGATGATTGAATGGGGTTTCCAGCCCAGGAAGTTAACTCCAGAGTTTTTCTCTTAACCTCCACATCTACTAAAATTCATAACAGGAAGCTAACATTAAAGATATAGAGGTATAAAAATCAGAGTTTGGGATATAGATTTTTCACTGGCAGAGAGGGAGACATATGCACAGGCTAGGTATAAAAGAAAGGCCTAACCTTTTTTTGAATCACATGGTCAGATTATTTTGAGTAAAATATATTAAGGAGTACAATTAAAGTTATATCTTTCTCTTCGCAGTGATATATATATTTTAAAATTAGCATATGGTTTTGGGGTTTTATGGATTCTTTCACAGATCCCAGATTAAGACTCCTCATTTAAATACATTTTTAAAAAAGAGAAGGTGGATCGAATTGCAGAGACTAATTGGTTCTCTTTCAAAACACAGTTTGAAAACTCATGGTATAGTGAAAAGAGAAATGGATTAGAGATAAAGATCTTCTTTATTTCAAAGACCCATTATTTTGCCTTGGTCAAGTTAAAGCTCACTTATTGGACTTAAATTTCTTTTACCTATTAATGTCGGATATCAGGCTAAATTATTTTTGAGTTTGCTTTTTCTATAAATATTTGATAATTCTATGATTCTGACATTGACAAGCTTATGTAATTCAATAAAAAGAAATAACACCAGTAATATCCTACACTGGTAAAGTGCTTTTCGTTTTTAAAGTGTTCTTCTGTAGCTTCTTTATTTAAATTATATGGAATTTTATCTTTAAGAGCTGTTGTAGATACATAATTAAATAATTTTAGGTATTATTTAAAATATCCTTTCTCTTTCTGTTATTTTGGATTATACTGTATTTTAAAATATATTTTCATTTTTAAGCACTAATATTCAACTTTGTGTTTGTATTAAAAATTATTTTGGTACAGTTTTTAAACACTCTTTATTGTCATCCCATTGCAACCATGTCCCTTATGTTTTTTATTATCTTGACTAGCAAAAAAGGAATTTTGCTTTTGATGTTTTTGTTTGCTTGTTTTTAGTCGGCAAGTCATATTGCTTCTAATCCAAAAGCAAGTGCAAAAACGAAAAAGGACAACATGAAATATGCTAGTTGGGCAGCTAGTCAAATAAACAGAGCTTATCAGGTTAGTATTTATTGATGATTTTGCTATGTAGATCAGTTAATGTATTTCTTAGTTACTTTTATTTCTACAAACTACAAAGTCAGATGTCTAGCATTGGACTTATATATACCTTTGGGGCTTTATCAAATGGGTTTTACTTGTGTAGAATTAATTTGTAGTTTTAGGACTACCTTTTTTTCCCCTCGAGGAATCTGTTAGTATTATTATTTAATAATTAGCCTTACCATCTGGAAACTTCAGTGGTTATGCATTTGGCAAATGCAAAGTAATTCTAAAAACTCAGAAAGGATTAAAAAAAAATCATATTGCATTTCAGAAGCAGGTTGGGTATGTGAGTGTATTATTAATCATAGGTATCTCAAGAAATGGAAAAGAAGGAAGAAAAGCCTAAAAGTAAGTTAGACTTTTTTAAAAATGTTAAACTGCATAACAGAGTTTATGCAGTCTGCGTATACCCCAGATCTTTTACTGAAGCTTCCACATTTGTATTTTAGTTTTCTAAAGCTCATCTTTAGCAAATTTTTTTAGAAAATTATTTTTCATGAGAAATTTGCTCATGGGAAAACACATCTTACATCTTGCATGTTTATGGCTATTTGTCTGTAGCCTTTATTTTTAAAAAACAGTTTGGCTTTTTATATACCCTTTGGTACTTTACCTAAATATCTTAAGCATATTATTCAGATTTTTTGGTTTGTTTTTTTTTTTAATAGAGATGAGGTCTTGCTATATTGCCCAGGCTGGCCCTGAACTCCTGGCTTCACGTGATCCTCTTACCTCAGCCTCCTAAGTAGCTGGGACTACAGGTGCAGCCACTACCATGCTCAACTGTTTCATTCTGTTTTAGACTGAAATGTTGCTGTCAAGAAGTATGATGCCATCTTGACTTGCTTTTTATCATAAGTGATTTAGACTGTTTGTCTGGTTACCCAAAGGAGTTTTTTCTTTACCTTTAAAATCCAATAGTCTTACTATGATTTGTTATATTGATTATTCTTGGGTCAGTTTTCCCAAATACACAGTACTCCCATTTAGTACCCCAATTTAGCCCTTTTATTTGAGAAAAGTTGCTTTTAGAATCACATTTTTTTCTCTGCTTAATTTTCTTTTTCAGGATTTCAGTAATAAGTATATTACATTTCCTTTTTATATGTCCTTTATTATTCATTTTCTTTCAGATTATTTTGTCGTTTTCTGTATTTTATGTTTTCTCCATAATTTTTTATGAAATTGATTCATATTTTTCTTGTTCTCCGTGTTTAAATGAGCTAGTTTTCCTGGACTATTGGGAGGAGATGTTTATGGAATGGTGGGGAGTTGGAGATAAGTTAGGGTAACTTTCCCAGCTTGGCTATTCTATGGCTGCCTCCTTTTTGCCAACGAGAACTCAAGTATGACCTCCTTGGATAGCCAGTCTTTCTCAGAACTGAGAATTGAGTGTTACTCAGAAGGATTTCCTGGCTTCAGCCCTCTCTTCAATGCTAGAGCTCTCAAGATCTTGAATTCTGAGGTGTTGCTCTCAGCTTTAAATGTTACATATTGTTGTTACAGTTTGTGTTCCTTCCTTTTTGTTTTGTTTTCTTCTGGGATTGCTGTCTCTGGACATCACTTATTTCCTTACCCCTCCATATCCAAACCATCCCTCCTCCTTATCCTGGTGTTTCTGCCCTATTCAGTTTGGTTTCAGTTTTTAATTGTTTTTCTTCAGGGTGTTAGGTTTTGTCCTTTTGGAAGAGGGTGTTTGCTAGATATTTTAGAGATTTTAAGATATTAGTTAGACTCATCTCATATTTGTGAGCAGTTTTTTACACTTATCTTTGGAGCTCATAAAGACTTTTCTAGGCCATTGGCAGATGTATCAACTCAGGTTCTCTTGTTTAGTAGATTAGGAATTGACAATTTGTTTGGTTTTGGGCTTCTTGTGGAGTAGTAGCTTGTCCTCTACTATTTTCTATTTCTCCTACTACACAGTTGTTAATCTTTTGTAGGTCGTGCTGCTCTTGATGTCATAGTCACATTCTAGGGTTTAGAAAATTGACTGTTAACCAGTTTTTTGAAAATGTCATCTGTGGGCTTGGGTTCTGTTATGTTGGGTTTTTTTTGTTTGTTTTTTTTTTAATTGTTGTTCGTTTTTGCCCTTCTGGTTGGAGAAGATTGAGGAGATTTTTAAAATGTAGTGCCTGCGTAATCACATCATTGAAAGTCACCTTTGTGTATTTTTATTATCTGTTATAGAGCATATTAGTTTTGTTGGCATATTGTAAGTCAGAGTATTTATGAATATTAGTCAGGCTGTGTGTCTCCAAAAGTAGTTTGGGATAGCTCAGATCTGTAATGGAGTTCCACACAGTGTAGGCTTGGGGGCGCATGTGTGTTTGTGATTTAAAGGTAAGATTTGTGTAATATAAAACTAACACTATGCATACTACATCATTGTTTTTAAGATATTTATAAAAACAGTTACATTCTCAGAGTGCTTTCAGACATAACTATATTTTAAAATCAATTTGTATAAAATTATAACATAGAAATAAGAATTACAACAGAAAAAAGAAGGCAAGTCATAAATGTACATTTCAGTGACTAATAAAAGGTAAATGTATCCAGGCTAATAAATATAAACATTGTAGCATCCTAAAGCCCTCTTTGTAAATCCTCTCAATTTCTCCTCCTACATTCCTTAAGAGTACTCACTTATAAACGTATAGTTTATGGAATCAACCAGTATGTATTCATTTTTGTCTTGCGTATTTCTTTCATTATTCAGTTTATGAGATTTATCCTTGTTTATGTCTGTAGTTCATTCATTTTCTTCTACTGTAGTTTATTGTATGAATGTTATAATTTCGTCAGTTATTGATATGCATTTGGAATATTTTCTGTTTGGACTATTGTGAATAAACTACACTGAATATTGCTGTATAGGCCTTTTGGTGTACATGTATGTGCAGTTCTTATTGTATTTGCAGTGCTGTATACCTTTGAGTGAAATACTGGGTCATAGAATATGTATATATTTAGTAGGTAAAGGCAGTTTTCCAAATTAGTTTACTCCCATCAGCAGTATTTAAGAGCTCTAATAGTCCCACATCTTCACCGACACTTGATTCTGTCAGTCTTTGTAATTATAGCCATTCTGGTACATGTGTAGAGTGGTATTTCATGGTTCTATTTTGAATGTTCCTGATGATCATTTATTTGCCATTCGGATAGCCACTTTTGTGAAATCTTTTTCTCATTGGTTTGCATGACATATTTCTTTAATTTTTTTGCTTATGAGTCCTTTTTTAGTTATATGTATAAGCAAATGTGTATGATTCCTTACTTTTTCGCTATCATATGATCTTGATGAATAGAAGTTCTGAAATGAAATGTGTTCAAATTCCTCAGTCATTTCTGTTATGATTTTTGTTTTTTTGTGTTCTGTTTAAGAAATCTTTTGCTATTCATGGTCATAAAGATAATTCTGTGTGTTTTCAGAATTTCTATTCTTTTACTTTTCATATTTAATCCACAAAACATTTGGAATTGATTTTTTTTTTTTTTTTTGGAGACAGAATCTGGTTCTGCCACCCAGGCAGGAGTACAGTGGCATGATCATGGCTCACTGCAGCCTTAACCACCTGGATTGAGTGAGCCTCCTGCCTCAGCCTCCCAAGTAGTTGGGACTATAGGTACATGTTACCATGCCTGGCTAATTTTTAAATTTTTGTAGTGATGAGGTCCAGCTGTATTGCACAGGCTAGTCTCAAACTCCTGGCCTCAAGTAATTCTCCTGTCTCAGCCTCCCAGTGGGGTGCTGGGGATTGTATGTGTGAGCCACTATATATGGCCTTAAATTGATTTTTATGTATGATGTGAAATAGGGGATCAATTGCTCTCCCTATGGATATCCAGTGTTTCTATTCATCTTTGTATTCTATCATGAGTCCTGTCCATGGAAACTAGTTCATTGTAGTAAAAGAAGATTACAGATGCTAGATATATGTTATCTGGGTTCAAATTTTGACTCTGATATTTATTAGCTATGCAAACTTGAATAAATTACATAACATCTTTTGGCATAGCTTTTCTTCTGCAAGATGGACATAATAAAATATTCTGAGAATTAAAGAAATTAAAACATAATTTATACCAAATCACAGTAATATGCATTACATTGTGTTTGTTAATCATAGTCTTTAAGTTCACTTTATTATAGCTGCTCTGATCATTGCAATAATAACAACTAATTATAAAAGCAAACATAAAGAATTTATTATAACCTAGGCACTCTTCTTGTTTTATAAACAAGGAGATTAAAGCATGGAAAGATTAAATAACTTTCCCAAGGTGACACAGCTGGTTAATGACAGCTGTTTTCAAACCCAGGCAGTCTGACTTCATGAGTGGTACTCATAAGGGTTAAAGTATATTGCTTCTATTAAGATAGGTGTAAATGTCTCTGAAGTTGTCATAGCTTCCAACTACCTCCTCAATTATTTTATTATATAAACAATTGATACCCTACCCCACATGTTTCTCTCTTCATTTCAGACGTAAAGCTCTCAATAGTAACTGAATTCAAGAGTTTTGCTTTGTTGTTTTTCCTTCTCCCTGTCTCTTCAGTGTTACAAGACTCCCTTGATTAGATCTCTGGGTACACATGGTTTTCCCTGCCTTTAAAGATACACTTTACCACTAGGAAATGAATCTATTATTTCAGTATTTTCAGCCATTGTTCATAGAATCAAATCTTGTTCCTTGGTAACGTTTGCTCTCCCTGCCATTCTGTCTCTCTTTCTAATTGTATGTTATTAGATTGAATTTTCTTTTCATAAAGTCTTATTTTCATTATTTATAAAGTCTCAGCGTTCTTTGGAAAGAACTCTGATAGCATCATTTTTGCTGTTCTCTTGAGTTTTGCACTGTAAACTCCATTGTACCTAGAGATGTTTTCCACATCTTTATTGAAAGTGTGATCTGCCTTTTCTTCACTCCATAGGGAAGGATAATACAAA